AATTTTAATCCTTGGCGTCAATTAATATGATTGGTTGTTTTAATGAACCAATCAGGGAGAATACACTTATGTAAACTGATAGAAATGGCTGAATACAGGCCAAAGTGTGTTTCTTTGCGTCACGAAAACAGCATAAATCTATAGAAACTTTGACTACAACTACTCAATCTTGACAACATAACTGGAGATAATAAACACTGATAATTACATACAACAATGAAGTAAATCTGATAAAAAGAAGCGAAGTTATGGTTAAATAACATGAAAAATATATGTATCCACATGGTAATAACGATAAGTCTCATTGAAATATGATTACTACTTGATATATCAAAAGCTGAAAATTAATTAATTATGCAAATTAGGTAATTAATATGTACTCATATTACCCTAAAAACTATCAGGTCTGTGCAGTGTCCTATGACATCTATGTACCAAGTGTCATTGAAATGTGATGATTAGTACTTGAAATATCAGTGGAAAAGCCGAAAATTGATTAATCATTATGCAAATTAGGTAATTAATATTGCACAGATTTTTACCCAAAACTAATCAAATCTGTGCATTAGTTTGGAGCATCTGTGTGCCAAGTTTCATCAAAATCCAATGAGTGGTTCTTTAGATATCAGTGGAACAGCAATGGAACAGCTAAAAATCAGCTAATTATCATGCAAATTAGGTAATTAATATGCATGGATTTTTACCAAAACCAAATCAAATCTGCACATTGGCCCAGAGCATCTATGCACCAAGTTTCATCAAAAACTAATGTATGGTTCTTGAGATATATCCCTGGTTTCGCGTTAACACCACGACGAACAAAATAACCGACAGCGAAACCAAGCAAGCTACAGAACTGCAGCTACGACAACAGGCAAGTAAATAAAACAAACTTACAGCGGTTGACCCTTTCTTTACAGCCTCCTGTGCATATTCAACTTGGAACAGATGACCATCTGGTGAGAAGACAGTAATAGCTCTGTCATACCGAGCCGTGCCCATAATGTGTGTGAATGGATGATTTCTAGGTTCTTCTTTCGCCAAGTCACGTTCTGTCCACTTTTGACAAAATGGTGGTTCTGCATGCGTACCCAAGTTATTGGTAAAAAATAAAAATAAATTAATTGCATTGATACTAGTCCAATAATAAATATGGAATTCATTGTAATTTCACTTGAAATACTATTGCAATACAAATCTGAAAGTAATTGTGCTACAGTGTGCTATGAATTTGTCAGGAATCTAAGATTTAACAATATCATGTTGAAATAAATTTCAACTTTCTTAGGGAGTCTCGGTTACAGGTTAAATTGCCCTTTTTCAAAGAGTAAAAGTAAGCACAATTGTATTATATTTTTTATTCCATGTTATTGCTTCTATTATTATAAAATTAATGATATAATATAATTAAAGTAATATTATCTGCTATTTGGGTCAATGATATTTGAATAGTTTAATGCCCCTCAAAATATATTTCATACTCCCTCTTGAACGAGGTGACAACAATGAGGTCACTCAGGGTCATCTTACATGTAACCAATCAATGTGCCTGTTATATTTGCTTCCATATCAGTGAAGAGGTTATCGACATCACGTTGTGTTGATTTGCGATCACATTCTCTTTTGTTATTTCGCGCGGCAAATTTGTCTTTTATCGGAAAGAACCGTCATAAACGAGATTTGTCGGTGTTTGTAGCCGTCGTAGACAAGTAAGATGTCTGTATCATTTGTTCAACCGAGCCAGAGAGGCCGATCACAGATGCCAAACTCAGCGGCGATACAGAAGGTAGAGTTATGAAAGAACTGAACATGACAAGTGCCATAATATACTAGTATACTATAGACGCTCTTGTTAAACACAACAACAATTGTTGTCAGTGTGCCCAATTTAGTCTCAGGACCTTTGTCTTTTATTCGGGACCTGATATTAGTTCGTTTGTACGACGTGGGTCACTTAATATTCTTTAAATTTGTTGTTTTTGCGAAAACCCGCCTTTACCTGTAATTTTAAGACGAAGACACAAAGAAACTGGTCACATTGTTGTTGATTTTTTTAACAGATGCTGGATGAGAATAATCAGCTTATACAGACGATACTTGATTGTCAAAACAAGGGGAAAGCCGGCGAGTGTGCGCAGTATGTTGATTTCTATTTTTCACAACCTCGTTTCTTTGTTGTTAATTTTCTCATGTTCAACTAAGTAAATCGTATTATAGTTTTTCTGTCCTACATGTACATGCTATATAATGCCTTGATTCCATTGCGTTTGGTATCGTTCGTCTTTTGATGCGCACAGAAAGATTAAAAACGCTACTTTTAACCTCATAATCTTGGACCACAGAAACTAACCTTAAATAAGTATGATACTTTCAGTATAAATCCATAAATATTGTGACTTTTATCGTGTATAATTATCCATGTGTGTTTCTTGATTTATTCATATTTGTTGATGTTTAATTGTAATTGTTATTTTTCATTTGTATTTAGTTTGTATCGATAGACAGTGATTTTCTGTATTGGTTCGTTTTTGTTTCATTTGATTCCAGGCATTATTAACTGAGATATATTCGTTAGAACTCGTTTCATGCTTGATTTCACCTCATAATACATGTATCTCTATTACAAAGAAACAAAAATCAGTTAATGTAAGCCATTTATGTAATGGTCACAAATACGCTCTTATCACAGCGAACGCAAGAGAAGTCACAACTTTGTAGCGGATTAAGTCGCAATATATACTTAATAGTGACCTTCTCGCATGCAAAACCAATCAGTGTTTTCCTCCAATTTTAAAATCCAAGGTGTGAATCCATAGTCTCTTACTTGTGTTACCATTACACAAACACAGTGCTCGCAGTTTTTTGGACCTGATCGAATGTGTGCGATAGACAGCCACAACAAATGATTGGTATGATTCTAAAGCTGTGATATTTTTTGCTGAAAATTCAGTTATTTTTACATTTATGGCTTTTTATGCCCTCAACTAATTGTCAAAAAACCTTGTCATAGAGAGCTATTACTATTTTGGTCCAGGCTTCATCATAAGATTCTAGTAGACATTTGCATATTAACTGAAAAACAATAAGATAAATTAATTTTTCATTTTTCAATACAATTCATCAAGATGAAACATTTCTGCCATTCTGGATCCAGATCTAGTGTGTTCGTATAACAAAGATTCAAACACTGCATACATTAAACATTATGGACCCTTTTTTTTTGCAGATCAAATTCAAAATGTTGTCTGTGATCACATTTCAATTACAGCAGTGTTCTCCCCAGGATTATGGTCAAGAATTTCCATAATAACTAGCATATAATTTCCATAATTTATTCATAATGTTTGTACATTTTTCATTATTCGTAAACTGCTTATACACTATTACTTTTAGTTTAATAATTAGTTATATAATTTAGAACACAATTCATGGCTTAAATCAGTAAATAAGAAATGACTGAAGAAAATCAAGAAATTGTAAAAATATTCTCATATGCTATTTGTTGTGCAAAAATAGTGGCAAAATATGTAATTGAGGATTCTCTGTTAATTGACTACAATAATAACTGAACTGTATAGAATATCCCTGGGTGTGTAGTGGAAAGTGGACATTGTGATGATGGTAAACAATCATAGCAGCCTTGTGTGTTACCAACAAAGCATTAATTTAGTTGTCTTGATATAGCATTTTGATTGAAGTGCTCCCCCAGTGGCAGATAGGATTCAGCCTGTGAATAAGATTGTGTAGGTCAAAGGTCACCAGCCATGATGGAAAACAAGTTGAGCTTTACGTGATGTTTACAATGATTAGTGCTATCATCAAAAGTTTTATTTTCAACATTGCAATCAGCATTTCTTCAAACAATTTTTGTTTCAAATTGGATATGCCAACCACTGCTGTTTGTATCCTGGGGAGAACGCTGTTATAGATTCAGTTTTATGGTCTTTTCACATCAATTACTTACTCTTGTAGTTGATGAGCAATCGTGGGCAAGGTGTTCAATAGTAAAACTATGTTATACATGTAGTAGAAAAAAAACTTATTTTTGACTTCTTTAAGAAATTAGCTTGCCTAGTCTGTGCCTTAGATAAACCTGAATCATTTTGGGGTGGAAACTTCAATCCAACTTTTTAAATTGCTAAACTTTCTGAGTATGCATAGAAATGCTATATCTGCCTACAGACTGCTTTCATATATTGTGTATGATGATTTATTGATTCCTAGATTATACCATAAAATGATTTCTACTTGCAGATACCAACAAATATTGCATCGTAATTTGGTTTATTTGGCAACTATTGCTGATTCTAACTCGAATGTCCAACAATTACTGCCGGTGAGTGCTGGTTGTCTTCAGTGTGCACAAAATAGTCTTTGTGGTTATTATGTCTGTCTGTCTATGTGGATGTATGTCTGTTCCATTTATGTATGTCACATACAATGAAATCTTATACATAAATGAAAATTCATACATATCAATTTCCTAATTTGCATGAGTCAATTTTCACAGCTTTTCCATCGATATTGCAAAAACAAATCATTTCAGAGATTCCCTAAGAAGAACATTCCTTAACAACAAAATTTGTCAAAAATCTTTAGTCAAAAACATCACTCGTGGTCGGTAAATGATGGACATTAGTTTGTTTTGTGATTTGATTAAAAATGGTGGCTTTTTTGTTCCAAAAATCAACATTTGACCAGTGATTCAGTTACTCACGAGACATCAGCAGTTTGTGTGCGTGTGTGTGTGTGTATGTGTGTTCGTCTGTTCCACCGATATCTCAAGAACCATACATCAGTTTTTGATGAAACTTGGTGCATAGATGCTCTGGGCCAATGTGCAGATTTGATGAAATTCCATGCATATTAATTACCTAATTTGCATGATAATATGCTAATTTTTAGCTGTTCCATTACTGTTCCATTGATATCTGAAGAACCACTCATTGGATTTTGATGAAACTTGCTATATAGATGCTCTGAACTTGTGCGCAGATTTGATTAGTTTTTGGTAAAAATCCATGCATATTAATTAGTTAATTTGCATGATAATTAGCTAACTTTTAGC